TATGTACAAGAGCCAACAAGAGTCACATATGGCAGCCAGACTATTATAGATTTGGCCTTTGCCAATATGGACATATAGGTACAGGTCCAACATACACCGAAAATAAGTGAGTTTATAGAAGAAGTACCTGAAGAAATTATTGTTAAAGGGGAATGTATAATAGCTGGGGATTTTAATATAGATATGAAAAGTGGATTATATTATACAAGAAAATTGCAAGTAATGATGGAAGAATTAGGGATGAAACAATATGTACAAGAGCCAACAAGAGTCACATGTGGCAGCGAGACTATTATAGATTTAGCCTTTGCCAATATGGACATAGAGGTACAGGTCCAACATACACCAAAAATAACGGATCACTCGTGGATACAAGTCACTCTCAAGGATACGCACTTAGAAACGGGAGGAAAAGAGTTCATAGTAAGGGATTTTAGCAAATACTCTGAGCTACATTACAAGATAGTATTAGGTGACATTATAAAAATGAATGAAGTGCGAAGTGGAGACGTACATGCCAAAGCAAATAGATTAGTCAGTAATATGATTAAAGCCTTAGATCAGGTTGCACCTCGGAAGAAATTTAAAATACCTAGTAAATAGGCAGGTAAGAAATGGTATTCTGAAGAAGTAAGAAAAGTAGCAGCGGCAAGAGATAAGGCATATATCAAAGCGCAATATGAAAAAACGGAGGAGAAATGGTCAGAATATAGAGTTATAAATGGGCAGGTAAGAAATGGTATTCTGAAGAAGTAAGAAAAGTAGCAGCGGCAAGAGATAAGGCATATATCAAAGCGCAATATGAAAAAACGGAGGAGAAATGGTCAGAATATAGAGTAGAGAGAAATAATTTAGTAAAGCTAATAAGGAAAACAAAAAAGGATTATTACGAGAAGGTGATAGATGAGAATAAACAGAACCCTATAAAAATGTGGAAATCTCTTAAAGAAATCCTGAGGGGGGTGAGTGTAAGCAAAAACGAAGTAGTGGACTTAGACCTAGAGCTTGATGCAACCAAACTCGAGTCAAATATAAGTGTAGCTGATAAATTTAATATGTTGTTTGTAAATAGCATAGACAAAGTAGTTAAATCTATAGACACGGAAGTAGACGCCAAAGAGAAATAATTTAGTAAAACTAATAAGGACAACGAAAAAGGATTATTACGAGAAGGTGATAGATGAGAATAAACAGAACCCTATAAAAATGTGGAAATCTCTTAAAGAAATCCTGAGGGGGGTGAGTGTAAGCAAAAACGAAGTAGTGGACTTAGACCTAGAGCTTGATGCAACCAAACTCGAGTCAAATATAAGTGTAGCTGATAAATTTAATATGTTGTTTGTAAATAGCATAGACAAAGTAGTTAAATCTATAGACACGGAAGTAGACGCAGACAGTAATATAGTGTATGAAAATGAACAATGGCTCGATGAGTTCAAACCCATCGATATAGTGGAACTACAGAAGATAATGGATCTTGAATTAAGTCGATTCCATCCTAAACGGACCACCCCCAACCCCCGTAGCATCTCCATATACTCCTTATAATAGTGAAAATACCATCACTTAAATAGCAGCATTTTTGGAAAGATTCGTCTTTAGTAGACTAGTATTTTCTTAATAATTCATTTTAAATTATTTTTTTATTACTTTTACTCTTATCTATTATTTTTAGCCTTTTTAACCCCTTGGTGGAGAGTGAAGGGGGGTAGAGAAGCAAGGGGTGGGCTCTTAATACAGTATCTGTACTTTTACGTGTGACATATGATTTCCGATGAATTTTTCTCTTGTAAACACGAATTTGTGGTCAGTTTTGCTCCATTGCCCTTCGATTTTGAAATAATTGCCAATAATCGAGATTTTCCCTGAATAATTATGCCACAGTTGATAAATATACGCAACTTCGCTTCAGGTGGTATAACGACAAGTTTTTCTGAGGAATGACAAATGAGACAACGACTTTTTGTTTCAGACGTTCTACTAAATTGCAATGTCATTTTCTGATCAACCTCCATTTTTTCACTTGTAACATTAGCATCAACACTAGCCAAGTTTCCCACTAATGTTGAACTATGGTCGCTTGATGACGACGCCTGCGGGCCCGCTTTCCCACCCTGACCAGCCGCCGGTTCTGGGGATCCGAACCCCTGTCCCGTAACACTTTTACGTGTGGTTGCCATGACGGCGTGATAGCCGTAACCCAGGGACTTTGCCGGATAGTGGGACAACTCCGTTGCCCACCGTCACCACGTGGAGGTGCCCTGGTTGCAAACACACGTTAAAGATATTGAGTTACAGTCTTAGCACACAACCTCATACCTGTGTGTAGATCCAACGATTTTCAAAAGCTTCCATTTTCTGAAGGTTATTAGCACGGATTCGTAATTACAAGAGAAAAATTCATCGGAAATCATATGTCACACGTAAAAGTACAGATACTGTATTAAGAGCCCACCCCTTGCTTCTCTACCCCCCTTCACTCTCCACCAAGGGGTTAAAAAGGCTAAAAATAATAGATAAGAGTAAAAGTAGTAAAAAAATAATTTAAAATGAATTATTAAGAAAATACTAGTCTACTAAAGACGAATCTTTCCAAAAATGCTGCTATTTAAGTGATGGTATTTTCACTATTATAAGGAGTATATGGAGATGCTACGGGGGTTGGGGGTGGTCCGTTTCGGGTGGAATCGACTTAATTTTTACAGTAGTTACTACAGGAAGTTATTTTATTCATTTTTATCCAAATTAGATTTGGGCCGAAAACCGGCCTTATGGACCCTCCTCCTTTGACAACTACGTTTCTGTGGCTGTACTAAATTAACTTTCGGTTGCTTTGTTATTTGTTTTGGGGTAGAAGGGGTGCTTTCTTGGTTCTGAGGGTTCCTTCCACGTAACTCCTCTCGTGTTCCTAGTAGTCTTTCAATGCTTATAGTTTGCGATACCGTTTCATCTATTTCTTCCCTTTTACTTAGTCTATGCTCTATTTCAGGCTTTAAACCCATAATGAAACAACCTAATAAAGCACCATCAATCTCTATTTTAAACGTTGGTTTTGCCGTTCCACTATTTTCCAACTTATGTACTTCCATAATTTGATTTCCTATATCTTTAATTCTATTTGCAAATGTGATGACGCGCTCATCCTCCTTCTGATATATGTTTCCTAACTCTCCATGAAGTCTATGAATTGATTTGGCAGGCGCAAAAATCCCTTTTAAATATTTAATTAGATCACTAAGTACACTGAATCTCTGACCTGCTATAGTTTTCCTAGCTTCACCCGTGATGCGGGCACGTATGATTTTTGTTAAGTTTGCCTCGGTTTCTGAAGGAACCATAGCTCTTGCTTCCTCGCATCCTGCTATGAATTCACATAGAGGAATATTTTCACCATCAAACTCAGGAACTACCGCAAGGGCATCCCTCAAGGAAACTAACTGACCATTACTAGACATCTCTTCAAATGGCGAGGGTGACGGTGGTGCTAGTCCTCCCAAAGATTTATTGATAATTCCTATTTCCTTAACTAATCTAGGAATTTGTAAGTCAATACTTTCCGAATCTTCTTCCTCTATGCCTTTTTCTAATTCTACTCCTTTTTTAGCTTTCTCTATTTCTTCCTGACAACATACTGTATCTTCCCGAGGTAAACTATGCCTTGGCCGAAATGGATCCTGTGAATCGTCTAATCCAAACTCAATATCTACTGCTTGAACAGCCGATTGATCCTGCTCTTTCTTTGACTTTGATCGTGTATTCATACCTCTCTAGTAATCATTAGCAATTGAAATCCCGGATGAGCCCCCAAAAATTTACGTATGTTACGTCCGAACCAGAATGGAGGTCTAGTAGAGATGATATCCTTACATTTCACATCCTACGATGTATCCACCTTACTGGTGCCTTTACCGAACCGTAATATACTATAACTTTGCCCTGTTTTGAGTCAATGCTTGCGCACTTTACTCGGGATTGGGCTATGCCTCTAATTACCAAGGAAAGGATAAATTGAACTGGATATTTGCTAGGATTGATTTGAAAATTACTAAACAAATGGAAACCATCACCAACTAAACAATTGAACCTAGGAAATCTAACATTTATGACAATTCAGCAAAAATTAAAGAGTACCATCACCAATAATAATTGATTGTGCTTACCTTGATTCTGCAGCTTACGATTACTGAAGATCTCTGCGGTGTAGAAGAGGTTGGTTGTAGGTAGAATATATATATATATAAAGCAAAATTAGTGAACAAATTAATAGAATTTATTATAAAATTGCCACACAGACAACACACTCTACGAAAATGCTATTTTATGGAATGAGCGAAAACAATTTTAACTGATACTGAATAACTTAACGAATTACAATGAATTGGAGTGAACTGATAATTGTATCTAGTGAACAAGAGAACGTTAAACTGTTTTTACTGAACTGTCTGACGGACCAGCGGAGAATGAGGAATGAGAGTTGAAAAAAATTAGGGATGTTGGTTAGCGGGGGTGGATTGTTGGAGTCGGGTTAGGGATTGTCGCTATTGGTTCAGCTAGAGAAATTTTTAAGAAAAAGAGCATGGAGTGGTTAAAGAAATTAATTTATTGGTGCTGGAAATTTTGGCGGGGGTACTCTGCATAGGGGTAAAGGAATTGCTGGATCATATTTTCCAGGAAGGGTCATGGAGTCATAAAGTTAGGAGCGTCCGCATATGTATCGCATAAACAACGTCAATAACAGTCAATCCATAGACTAAATACGTTTTCTATAAACATTTCCGTTAGGCTCTATTCATTGTCAGTTGACCTAGAACCTATATATTAAATAACAATATCCTAGGGTCGCTATGTGATAAAAACAAGACCCCACTGTTTAGTCTTCCTATAGCTGGACATAGACCACGTACGTAGGATCTGATTTTCCACGCGGACGTAACACAAGATTTGTTGTGCTATCGTCTGCAAGGTATTTGTTTTAACCTAATATAACGTTAGCGACTTACCAACTGTCTGAGAATTTCATCGGGTACATTTCTAGATGAATTGCAAACGGCGAACGCAGATGAATGAGAGAATATCAGGGGAGCTCTGCTTGCCCGAAGAGCGTCTCTCATGGTGGTACGTGCTGTATGACTTAAGTCAATCAGCATACCCAGTCTATTCATTTCCCGAACAACAGTCTTGCCGAAGCTTGTGAGACCACCGCCTATATGGTATAGAACAGCATATGTGTAATAATTTGGCACATATAGATTATAATTAATATTTGTATACAATTGCATATTTTGGAACAAGAATGTTCTTACCAGAACTGTCATCGTCCTGTTCAACCGATGAACTTTTTGCCCAAGGAGTGTTGCAGGTATGTGTGAGTGTAAGATATCGCACTCCCAATTGATAAAGTGTCCTCAAAACAGCTAAACTACTTCCTAGACTATGACCACCCTCTACACCAATTAAAGAAGCTATTCTACCTTTACTATGGGCCTCCAGAATTTCTGTAACAAAATAAAGGTTTGTTGCTGAGTTAACATCTAGTTAAATTTTAAAGTAGAAAAATATGCCTTGAAGCATAACCAAATAAACTATCTTCGCATTTTCTAGTCCTATTTTATGCATTCAACGTCTCAAAGAAATTAACTTCATAGACGTGAAACTTTTAAACCAGAAATGTAGAACATTTGCAAATATTACTGTTCCAACTACATATGGAACTTAATTATTCCTGCTAATCTTATGGATTCAGCTATTAGTTCGGGAATTCGGATACAGATACTTCAGGTGCACACATACATCTTCCTATGCCATGGTAATTGCATAAAATACCTTTAATTCAGATTCAATTTGATAAAGAGTATATAGAATAAACACTTTGCTTATTAGTTAAAAGTCAAAAAGTCGAGAAATAGTTTCAATAAAGATTACCTACCCATGGAAGACGCAGCGAATTGCATGTGCTGGGAGTACTTCTCTATGAGCCTTTTGATAAGATCCACCTGTTCGAGAGTCAATTGAACCGCGTTGAGATGTTGAGACTCACATGGTACATAGGCTGCCCAAAACTGAAAAACCATTAGATGAATAATTTTCCTTTTTCCATTGTCAACATCCGGTATGACTTCTTATAGAAAAGTAATAATGAAGGGCATTACTTTTTTTGCAATGTTACGTTCGCGTGAAAAATCAGGTTCCACATCCGCAATCGATAACTGAATATCAAAAAGCTGATCAGTGGGATCTGGTTTCTATCACATAGCGGCCCTTGGAGGCGGGTATCTTGCATATGGATCCCAGATTTAGGAAAATCAAAATGAATCTTTGAAAGAGGAACATGTATACACATTCTATTTCGGCAATAGCCCTGAGCGTTAGCGATTTCACTCAAGTGCACATGTGTACCCATAGTGGACACTGCTGATTTTAACGTTTTTCCTCGAAAATCCCATTAAGTTCCTTATTCATATCCGAAGACATCATCATTACTCAATCCTGACCCAGTAAATCCTTCATCCCCATGCAAATTCTCCCGCCGAAATCTTCAACACCAATGATTCAACTTCCTTAACCACGACGTGAGCTTTTCCTAGATATTTCCCTTAGCTGAACCAGTAGCAAAAATCATCAATTCTACCTTAAAATCCACTCCGCTAACTAACGTCCGCCAAATTCACCAAGACTCACTCTCATTCTCCGCCGATGCGTCAAATAGAGTATGTTTGGTCTGGTTAGTTTGATTTATAATAAATTGTATCTGTTTGCTTATCCAATTCGCTCTCTTCTTTTTTATATTTGAAATATCCAATATCTTTCTCCACCATCATTATCAGGATCAGCATCATCATCAGACGCCGAGGTAATCAATTTATAATTATTAAATTTGGTGAAGAAATACTTTAATCTTACAAAAACTCGGGTGGTAGTAATGTTTCCTATATCTTTAATTATTTATTTAGTGGCTGTATTGACTCATTTTAGTATACATATTTAGAATCAATTTCACCTAATATCCAACCTTATCAAGAGATATCCAATAATAAAAAAAAAAAAAAACTTATCAAGTGACTCGGGTAAATCTCGCGCCAAGTACAGGCAACCGGTTATACAGAGACGGTAACACGGCTCATAGAGATTCTTTACTCGAGTCAACTCTTATCCACCAAAAAACACTTACGTGTAAAAAACTACGCCAAGTACAGGAGTGCTGTGAATTCCTGTAATAAGAAGTATTGAAATCATATTATTGAGGCCAAGTACATAAGTCACTTGCCTATTATATGATCTAGCACTGGCCCATCATTTTAATTATATTTTCAAAATTTCCTATAACGTTTTCACTACTTGTTGGATTATTAAGTTTATCCTGTACGTAGAACTATTCCACAATGGTTAGAATATCAAAAACAAATCGACGTTGAGTGATAACATAAACAACAGATTTCTTACAAATAGCATAGGGCTATTTATCTTTAAAGGACATGGATCTTTCGGTCTTTGTGACTAGTGTTTAGTCTCTTGTAAAGAGTGAAACAGTTCAGACGGTTCTTCCATTGTTGCATTAAGAAAGTATAAGTTAAAATATATATAATCCATTGCATATTTTGTATTCATTTGGTAACCCATTTCCAATAGGTTATGGGCCCAGATTACATTGTGCATTAACTGTGTATTTTGGGAATAATGTCAAAAGTTTTTTTAATATATAAAAGTTTTAAGTGTGAAGTGTTAAGTACTGAGTGTAAGTGAAGATGGACAAGTCTAAGGACAGAAGAAACATAATACCGTTCATGGGCAGTACATACAATGCATGGAAACATCGAATCAGGAATTTATTACACGAACTAAATGTGCTAAAAGTCGTTGATGAACAACCCCCTGATCCAGTGAGAATGAAGTGGAAAAAAGCAGAACGAGTTGCCAAATGTATTGTTACTGAATATTTATCGGATGCTTACCTGAAATATGATAAACCTGGAAATACTGTTAAATCTATTCTGACAAGATTAGATAATATCTATGAAAGGAAAAGTATTGCCACCGAAGTATCTATTCGTAATCAGTTAAGCAGACTAAAAATGAAGAGTGACGGAAAATTGGACGATCATTTTGTAGTGTTCGATTTAATAACAGAACTAGCGGCAGCCGGCGTGTCTGTGACTGAGAACCAAAAAGTCTCGTATTTGCTCACAAGTCTCTCTAAAATGTATGGAACTGTATCAACAGTGATTGAGACAATGACAGAGGATACAATTACTTTGGATTTTGTTAAAATAAGACTTCTGGATCATGAGACAAAAGTGCAAAACGGAAGTGAAGATACAAGTGTCAAAGTATTGCAAATCGAAAAAGAAATTTCAAGAGGAAAGATAATGCTGGTTCAAGAGGCTATAGGAGCAACCGCAGAGGCCAAAATAGAAGAGGTAGACGCTCACATTTTTCAAGAGGGTTCAAGCCTAACAAGAATTTACCCTATGGAAAGTGTCATCAGTGTGGACGACCTGGCCATAAAATGAAAGACTGTTACTACTATAAAAAGAATCAACAATACAAAGCAGAACGAAACAAAACGGTCCACACAGTTCAAACTGTGCAAACGGAGTTGAATGAGAAATCGAGTTTCGCTTTCATGACTGGAGAGTATCAAGTAAATGAGAGTGATATGTTAATATTTCTATTGGACTCAGGAGCATCTAATCACCTTATTAATAAAGACAACGTGTTCTCAAGTGTAATTGAGCTGCATGAGCTGCATTGAGTTGAAAAGAGGAAAAATTCAAGTGACAAGTAATCTGGGTATACGAGTTGTCCACGAAGACGTCCTCTATAGTCCTGAGGTTCCATATAATTTGCTGTGTGTAAGGAGAATGCAGCAGGCAGAGATAAGTATCACCTTTAATGAAAAAGGGGTACAGATAAGCAAAGATGGTAAAATTATAATGTACGGTAAGTAATAAATAATTTAGTAGCTGCTGAATTTGTAGTTGCAAAAAAGGTAAATTCTCAAGTGTATAATGTGAATAGAAATAATTATTATTTGTGGCATCAGCGATTAGGTCATATTGGTAAGTCTAAATTCCAAGAGCTGAAAAATAAACAAATGGTCCGGGACATGAGACATCTGGAAAAAGTAATATCAAACGACGATTTATGTGAGGCTTGTATTAATGGTAAACAAGCTCGTTTACCATTCGAGAAAGCGAAGGATAAGAGTTACGTAAAAAGGCCATTGTTTATTGTTCACACAGACATGTGCGGGAAAGTCTCTCCGCCTACCATCAATAACAAAAATTATTATGTATCGTTTGTCGATGAGTTTACACATTACACTGTGACATATTTAATTAAACACAAGTCTGACGTTTACTCAGTTTTCAAAGACTATGTTGCAAAAAGTGAAGCTCATTTTAACTCAAGAATCGGGCATTTGTATTGTGATAACGGTACAGAATGCTTATCAAATGAAATGAAAGATTATTGCGTGCAGAAAGGGATCAGTTATCATTTGACTGTTCCAAACACACCTCAATTAAATGGCGTCGCGGAACGCATGAACCGAACGACAACCGAAAGAGCACGTGCAATGATAAACTATGCAGGTTTAGAGAAAGATTTCTGGGGAGAAACAGTTCTAACTGCTACGTACTTAATTAATTTGACTCCAACAAAAGCTCTAAAAATTAATAAGACCCCATTCGAATTGTGGCACGGTAAAAAGCTCAAAGTAAAGTATTTGAAGATTTTCGGTTCAACCGTTTATATACATAATAAAACCAGGAAGAGAAAATTTGATGAAAAATCCTGGAAAGGTATTCTACTTGGTTTTGAACCAAACGAGTATAAAGTTTGGGATGTTGAGCATGAGCAATTTGTGACAGTAAGAGATGTGATCGTAGATGAGGTAAATTACTTGAAATCTCGGCCAGTGACGAAAGAGGTGAGTCTAAAGGAAACCTCTAGTAAAACTGATGTTTATGACATAGTGTCAAAATCAGTAGAAATGCAAAGTAAATCTGATAATAAATCAGATGCATTGAACAAAACAAAATCTGTTATTGATAAATTAGATAGGTTGCAGAGAAGTAAATCTGATAATGATGAATCAGATACACTGGAGCCGATTGATACAAAAGTAATAGAAAATCCTGAGATAAGGAAATCTGTAATTGAAACAGCTAGATGCAAGGAGGCGACACGTGAAAATAGTCGAGAGAAAACAAATGATAAAATCGAGAGTAGAAGAAGTGAGAGAATTAAACAATTCCCTCCTCTTTCATATAATGAAACTGAGACGCCCATTGATTACCTCTTGTGCGCTCAGTCAGTTGCTTGTAAAATACCCACTTCGATAGAAGATGAAAGAGGAAATAAATGATAAAATAAAGAGTAGAAGAAGTGAGAGAATTAAACAACTCCCTCCTATGTCATATGATGAAACTGAGTCGCCTATTGATTACCTCTTGTGCGCTCAGTTAGTTGTGTATAAAATACCCATTTCGTTCAAAGAAATCAAAACACGTGATGACAGAGTTAAATGGGAGCGAGCAATTTTAGATGAAATAAATTCATTAATCACGAATAAAACTTGGACATTAGTAACGAAGCCAAGTAATAAGAATATAGTGGATTGTAAATGGGTATTCGCAATTAAAAACGATGAATTTGGGAATCCATAAAAATACAAAGCTCGTTTAGTTGCTCGTGGTTTCAGTCAAGAGTATTTGGTAGATTATAATGAAACATATGCACCTGTTGTGCTGGGAGTCTCCTGACCCCATTGACATACGCCAGGCCAAGTAGTTCACGCGTGTAGCAATGCGCTAAGTCAGTACTAAAGGCGGCCTGGCAACCAATATGTGGAAATCAAAAAATCGCACAATAATCACTTTTCGGAAGTCCAGCTTATGGCTGCACATCCGAAAATCGACAGTCTACAATTAAAATCCGAACGGATAAGGTGGTCTCGTGGAGTAGACTCGGTACAGAAAATAGGAGGACCGAATGGTGCCTATATTTTTCCAAGTCGACGTACGTCGACATACTGTATAACACTTGATTGTTTCAATAAACCCTCTCTGTTTTGTTGTATTCACGCGAGTTCCAACTCCTTAACCGGCAACGATCCCAAAAATTA